AGTCTTCCTTGGTTATTGATGGTGATATTGTTTTTTAGAAAAGTGTACCAACGGGGTATCTTGCCTCCTTTGTGCTGGAGATTTTTCTTTATAGTATTATAGTCTTCCAGGAACGCGTTATCTTTCGTTATGATGTGGTCTAAGAACATGATTCCTTTGTTTTTAAGGCTGTTCAAATGGGCAAAAAGAAATTTTTTGTCTATGACAAAATGTGCTAGTGGTTATTAACCTCCTTTTGTAACAAATTTAAAATTAGTTGATAAAGAAAGATTATAAAATTTAAAGAAAGTAAGTAAAGATTCTATTCTAGAAAAACAATTTAACGGTTTATCAAATAAATCAAAAAAATTAATAAGAGAATCAGGTAAAAAAAATTTTTGTTGACATAATAAAAAAAGAAATTTTAAAGTATTAGAAGTATGTGGATTGTTTGCTTGTGCGACCATTAAAGAAGATTGAACTTTTAATTGATGTTCAAAAAAATTAATTATATGGGGATAAATGTTACTATGTAAAACTGAATTAAAATTACTTTTGGGAAGTTTAAGGGTTTGTTTAATAACAGAGCGTATTGAGATATTAATTTTGTTTCATTGTTTGATTGAAAGCATAAAATGCTGTGACAGATATTCTATTCTCGGTATAATTACTTTGTTAATCACGTAAATCACGTGATCATGAGTAAGTTTTTTCTTCCTGATAAGCATTGTAACGTAATTGATTGTATTGAAAATTTTCTTTGTACTTGTTTTGTGAAAATCATCCGGATTGAAATAAACTCCTAATATTCGTGCAGCTTTATACTTAGCTAATAATGGCACTTTAATTACAGAACCAAATTCAATATCTATATGAGTTGGTGATGAAGAAGCTCCGTTTTTTATTATTTTCTTTGCATGTTTGTTAGCCAAGATGACGGTCTTTTCTTTGTTAATGTGAATATTAGCTAATTCATAAAAACTATGTGCTATTTTCAAATTTTCTATTAGGTTGGGTAGTTGTTCTGCCAACCATGTCGTATCGTCTAAGTATCCTAGCACTTTTTGAGATAATATTTCTTTAATTTCATCATTGTCGTCTGATTGAGACGCATTTTTAGGAAAGAAACATGTGCGTGGTATTGTTGAAGTATATTCTATTCCTGGAAATCTAGAGGAATTAATCGCCTCAAACATTGGGTCGTAGTAAATTACCCACAATAGCGGACATATCGAGTCACCTTGGTCTATACCATTAATAACGTCTTAGGGATCACCAATCCAATCCTCAAATATTACATAATTCGATCTATTAGTGAAAAGATTTAAGATGAAGGCGATTATATTTGGTGGGAGACAAATTCTCTCTAGCGCCTTGTTTAAAAGAGGAATATCTACTCTGTCATATGCTTTTGATAAATCTTGAATCATGATTAATAATGGCTTCTTGAGATTGGTTGCTGCTGTTATGGTTGCTTGTATATTGAAAATAATTTCCATGCATGAAGAACCTTGTATTCCAGCTCTGTTATTGTGCTGTAGGACGTTATTTTGACTGATAAATTTATTGAGGCGTGCATTAATCAGCTTTGTTAGAATTTTCCGGAACGTGTCTAATAATACTATCGGACGAGTATATCTAATGTCGTTATCCCACCATTGGGGTTTTGGTATTGGATAAAGTAGAGCTTGTTGCCAACTATCGGGAATAACATTATGTGATAGAGAGAAGTTAAAAAGGTATAAAATTTCTTTAAGGAAATTTGTAGGAAATTTTTTGATTATCTCGTAATTAACTTTAGATAAACCCGGTGCTTTGTTATTAGGTAAGGTTTTGATAATTTCACATAGTTCATCCATATGAATTTCAATAGATAATGATTCAATTTCATCAACTGGTATATTTGTACGTGGTTGATAAAAAATTTTCCAATAATCGTCAAAACCAACTGTTGGATCATATTTTGAATTACTTGTAAAAGATGACCCTATATATTGAAAATGGTTATTAGTTATTTCTGTGATCTTGTTTCGATCATTGGAGAATTTAACTTCGCCGTTATCTGTATATTTGATGCGATCTAATGTTATTTTTCTTGGGTGACGTTCCAAAATTGAATTTAACATTCTTTTGTTGTTTGTTTTGATGTCATCATCTCTTCTTTCAATAAATTTTTTGATTTGTTCTGAATCCTATGCTGAACGATCCAAAAGCAATTGTTTATTAATCGCCGTTTCTAATTGATTAATAAAGGATAGAATTCTTTCAAGCTCTACTACCGTGTCCAAAATTAAAGGAAGAGGTTGAATGGGAACAATGTTATTAAATTGCAATAATTTCGATAACCACTTTCTTTTATATTTCCAATGTTTATCGAAAATTTCAAGTATTTCTTTGAGATCAATATTATCGCTCTCATTTTGATTAAGTGTGTTGTTAACGTTTATAAAGTTATTCCTATTTTCAATTATAGATACTTTGTCGCGTAGATATCTTTTTAGAGATGCAAGTTGATATAGTTGATTGAATTGACGTCTGATGTGTAACGGAAGGATATTTCTTTTAGGGGCTCCACATTTGTATTTTTGAACATCAGCTAAGTTTAAGGCCTCTTCTATATCTTTTAAGATTCTTTTCATACGTTCATTGATGAAATTTTGAGATGAACGGAAAGAGATGGAAGTATCTTTTGAATAATCTTCATAAGTTGGATAAGCGTTTTTATTAATTTCTATCTGAAAAGTATTCCATTGATCCACATCCATGTCCTTTATTTTATATTGTTGTTCGTGGGACGGTAAGTCACGTGATAAATTATAATATTTTTGGTTTTTGGATAAGTTAGCGTTAGGATGATCAATACTTGTAAGAAGCAATCTATGGTCTGAAGAATAATAACTAGTATTAGTATTAAAAATATTAAATTCTGTAACTTTGTTACATAAATTTTTGGAACCAAAGATATAATCAATCCTTGAAGGTATTTTTGATGCATCATTAGAATAATGAGTAGGCGTAATTTTATGACCAAATTTTTCTCCTATATGAACCATGTCAAATTTCTGAAGAATTAATTCCATGGCCCTATGTATATTGTTAAGGATATAGCTTTTTGAGTAATCATCAATTTTGTTTTTGCCACGCGAAGAAGAGGTGTTATTATTTAGGTTATTGATGTTGAAATCTCCTAATATTAGGGTCACGTGATTTGTTTTGTTTGGCTGTTGATTTAATTTCTCAAAAAGATTATTGATAATATCAATATATGTTTCTTTATGTGCATGATTACATTCAGGTAAATAAATGGAATGTGTATAAATCTTTGTTTTGTTTTTAAAATTAAAAGTTGTAGAAATGTAACGTCCTTGTGTTTGAATAATGGTACTTTCCAAATGATTATGTAGTTGTTCACTGATGATTAGTCTAGATCCGCTACCACGTTTTTCTTTGTCGGGATTGTTGATAATAAAAAAGAATTTACTAAAATTATTATTAAAAGGGACCTGATATTTTAAATGTGCTTTCGATTTGCTGATGTCAAAATTGTTATCTCGTTCGTTAGTTTCACAAACATGTAAGAAATCAATCTTGTTAACAACCATTAATTCAATGATCTTGTCTTTTTTTGATTGGAAACCTCCTTGTATATTGTGTGTAGCGAAAATTATTTGTTTATAATCAGAAATTATATCTAAGTAATTTTGAAAAGTTTATTGAGAATTTTGATGATCTGTGGAAATAAAGTTACTGTTTACTTCGTTATTCGAAGTTGAAGAATAAGAAGGAGAATTAATATTATTTATTTTATTAGATTTTTTTGGTTTTTCTAAAGGTTTTTGTAAATTTTTTTCCGGATTTTTTGGATTTTTTGTTTTTTTGTTAAATTTAATATTAAAAGAAGAAGAAATATTCGTAACCGTGTTTTGTAACCGTTGTAAAGTTTTCTTTGTGTTGTCCATCATTAGTCCACCCTGATATTTTGAGAGATATGTACTTGGTGATAAATAGACTATATGTCTATTTGTTTTTTCGTTGGCCGTAGCCAATCATATTACTTAATTTGCTTCCAATGGATGAAGTAATAGTCGGATAACCACCTGTAGGTTGTGATGGGGTGTAATCAGGATCGGGGAAGATGTTACGTGTTTCGACCGTATTGGATGATTCGTAACCACTATTAGAACCATCAAAATCTTCATTTTAATAAGATTGTTGTTGTTCCTCGGTAAAATTACCATGATGGGGATAAGAGTAGTTATTTTCGCCGTATGCATTGGCGTCATCCTGATTTTGCTGATTAAATAATCCACATCTTTCCATATTTTCTAGCATGGCAACAATTCTAGGAATGCCGCTGATGGTTACTTTCTGTTCAGTCATATTATTATTGATAGCGGTCAATTGTTGGTTCAGGTTAGCCATATCTTTCTGGTGACGACGTTCTTGTTCCTGTAGAAGGTTGATGTTCTTTGTATGTTCTTTTTGTTTTATATTAAGAGCACCGACTTCTGAAGAGAGGTCCTTAATGATCGTTTCAAGATGTGTTATCTTTTTGATTAATTCATCATTAGATGCATTGGATTATTCCGGTTGCTTGCTTTTTGGTGTCGGTGATGGTTGATTTATATGCGCCGTTGGTTGTTCGTCCCAGTTATATAAGTTTTTATTTGGAGTTGCTTGTGGGCGACGTTGAAAGTTATTTGAGTGGTTGTTGTGATTCGGATTTTGTAATGTCCTTCTGTTCGTCCTTTCTTGATTATGCATTGGATCTGGATTGTATCTTTGATGTGATTGAGGACGGTTTCTATGTGATTTGGTTAATGATTTTATTTGATCATATGAGTTTTTGATATTATCTTTGAGGTTGTTTGAGTTTGGTCGTTTTATAAATTTTTTCCTGAATTTTCTTTCTTGATTATGGGGGATGATGGCATAGTCTTTTTCCGTGCAAAAAAATACATTGTGACCGTTAAGGCCACAGTAACCACAGGTGTCATTTAGATTGAAGTCGTTAGCTGGATATATGTGAAGTTTGAATTCCTGAAAGAGCGTTTCAAATTTGTTGTATGTGATGAAGTCTTGATCGCTTGTGTTGCAATAAATTTTGGCAATTTTGTGTAGGGATACTGATTTGGTCTGTAAGAATTCAATAGATCTTGCTTTTAAATGATCAGTTAAAGGTAATAAATCCAATACTGTGGCATTTAGTGGGATTCCAGTAACTATATAAGTAGGATTGGTGCGTTCCTTGAAATTTGCTTTGTCTTCTTCTATAGGAGTTATTCTTATGAGAAAATTTTCTATGAGTATGCCCCATTTATGTTGTGATAGTAGGTATTCTACCGCATTTGGCTTGTCAAAGGTGAGCGTAACTTTTTTATATGTGGGTGCTTTATAATTATATCTCAATTTTGGAGGTAAGTTACGAATGTTGTTTCTTTTGTTGGGGATGAATTCTTTATAACTATCAATAGAGCTACTGGTAAAGTTGGCTATATGTTTGATAAGAAGGTTTATGTCGTAGTTGATTGGTACATTTAGAAGGTTGATTGAACGTGATTTCAATCTATCAATATTTTGTTCAATTAATTCATCTAGTTTTTCATTGGAGAAAATTTGAGGCACCGCGTTGTTGAGTAACGGTACGGGTTTTTCCTTGAGTTTTTCTAAAGTTTCTTTTGTTCCAATCATTATAGTAAAAAATTCTATGGTGGCTCTTTTTACTGGTCTATATGATATGATGTCTTGTTCTGTTAAAAAGGCATTTTTTAAGTCATTTAAAATTTCTTTGTTTGATTTTTCTTTGTCGAAAATTTTCCTCATGAAGAATAATATATATTCAGTATTTGATCGTGAGTTATAATCCTTAAACAGCTCTAATGTCTGCGAAGTTACATCATTGTTTACGTTGGAAGGAGTTTGTGAACTAGTAGATCCTTGTGTTGATACTGAATTTGTATGGTTGATCTGTTGATCTGTGTCCATTGCATCTTGGCTTGTAATGATTGGTGTAGTTGATTCAACGGAATTCGTATCACGTGATGATATGTCAATTTCCGAGGAAATTGGATGTTCGTTTGTAGTTTTTTCGTCGACTTCCATATTGTTGTTATCGTCTGTTGTGGACGAAGGTAAAGAAGAGTTTTCAATTCTTTTTTGTTTTTTCTTTGTTTGAGCTGTTGGAGATACGTTTTGGTTTTGGCCGTAGGTTTCTGCGACCATTTCTTCGTCTGATAAATTGGTATGGTTGTCAAATTGTGTTTTTTGGTTATTTCGTTTAGCAGTTTTGGCGCGAGTGTTTTCTGCCATATTAAGATTATACTATTCACGCCGGAGAGTCTGAATTTTTAATAATTTTTATATGTTGAGATACTAGATAAAATGTTTTCTATAGACAATTCCTTTAGCTGGATTTTTGGTCAGAGGATCGGCGTGAAAAGTCCTTCATTTGCCTTTTTCATGCAAGATGAGATTTGAGAATAAGGTTCCTAACGTCGTTCGTCCCATCACGTGATTTGCTGCAGATATGGCTGATCCCTACTCAGATAAATTTGTTGCCGCAATTTGTCCCACAGTAAATCACCTCATTTCTCGTCAATCCTATTGGAACTTTCTGTTAATACTTTTGGATTCCAGCCACGTGCTAAATTTTGCTGCGCCGACCGAAAAAATTTGCGATGAAAAATCCCCAAGAAACCTCCAAGTCGTCTAGGCCCAAGAAGCTGCTATCCCATCCCTCAGTACGTTTTCTTCGTTTTCCGAGCCTCTGTTGCCGCCTACTATCAACACTTTTTTGGAAAACGACACCTCGCCCTACTTGGCCTTTTTATGGGTCGCCACCATATTGGCTGACAGCAAGAAGTAACTTTGTGGTCGAGAAGTCGAAAACTACTAGGCGACGCCTACTGAAACTGGCCTCAAACGGTTCGTAAAGGAGTGAATAAACAGTTGTCGTGTTGAAATGCGTAAAAAACTGACTTTCCATAAGCACTTTTGAACTCTTCCGCCTTTTGTTTCGTCCTGCTGTACCGAATGATCGGCGGGAAGAGTTCCTACTTTTTTTCATCTTGTACACAAATATCTAATTTGGTCGAATATGAAACAAATATAAATAGTCGGTCTTCCTCCAACTTAGGACTTTATTCTTTTTAACAAAATGTCTACCCATTTTTTTTCAAAATTAAGTCAAAATTACATTGAATTATTGAAAGATGATCAATATTATGATATTACAATTGAAGTTGGTGAAGATCCTAATGTAAAAATATTTCGTGCTCACATGGATATTTTGTGTTACCGTTCTCCATATTTACAACGAATTTTAGCTTCCAACAAAAAGAACAATGATAACGTATTAGCCCATATTAAATTACCAAAAATTTCACCAGAAATATTTCAAACTATTTTAGAGTAAGTAATTAATTAAATTTAATAAATATACTCAAGCTGTATGCTATATTACTGGATAAAATTGTTTCTCACATTCATAAAATTTTTGTTATATACTGTAGGTATATTTATGGTGGTATTCTTTCATTGAATTCACATGACATTTCAGATTCTCTTAAAATTTTGGTCGCTGCAGATAACTTCGTCTTCAAGAACTAGTTGATTATTTACAAAAATATTTAATTGAAAATAAGACAGATTGGATAGAACAACATTTTGGGTCTACTCAACAAATTAGTTCACAATCTAATAATTTATTAGTACTTCAAGAATTTTGTACAAATTTAATGGCTAAATCACCTGAAAGAATATTTAAATCATTCGATTTTACTTTACTTTCTGAAGCATCTTTAATTTCACTTATTAAAAGAGATGATTTATAAATGAACGAAATTGAAGTATGGGAGCATGTATTAAAATGGGGTCTCGCACAAAATCCAAATCTTATTCTAGATCCTAAAACTTGGTCAGTTGATGATTTCAAAACGATGAAAAATATCTTACAACACTGTTTGCCTTTAATTAGATTTTTTAGTTTATCTTCTATAGCATTCTCGCAAAAAGTTCGTCCATATCGAAAACTCTTAGATAAACAACTATATGAAGAATTATTGAATTCTTATTTGGAACCTGGTAGTGTGTCAAGATACAACGTTTTACGTCCAAGAAAAATTAAGAATAATGAAATTAAAATTGATGATTCCCAAATTATTGATTCAAAGATTGTTGATTCTAATATTATTTCAACTGTTTCAAAATGGGTTAATAAAGTGGTTATTAATGATAATAATTATGAGGAATTAATATATTTACCATACAAATTTGAATTACTATTAAGAGGAAGTCGAGATGGATTTACTCCTAACAAATTTCATGAGTTATGTGATGGCAAAGCTAATACAGTCAGACCTCTATAATTGCACTCTCCATAATTGCACCCACTATGTATACCCTCTCTAAATGCACCCTCTGGTTCGGTCCCAAGCTTATATGATCTCTAATTATTTTACCTCTATAAATGCACACCCTCTTTAAATGCACTATTTTGAAAATTATGCATATGGTCCCAAGGGGTGTGCAATTATGGAGGTCTGACTGTACAGTTACATTTATTAAGGTAAAAGGAAACGAAGAAATTCTTGGCGGATATAATCCTTTGAAATGGGAAACTACTGATAGGTGGGGAATAACTGAAGATAGTTTTATTTTTTCTTTTAAAGATAAAAATGTTAAAAATGCAATTTTAAGTAATGTAATAGATGCGTATAATGCGTTAGATTATATCACTTCATGTGGTCCAAAATTTGGAAGCGATCTTAATATATATAGTACCTATAGCTATAGAAACCATGGATCTAAAGCTTTTGATATAACTCGTTGTAGAAAAGTGCATTATGAAAGAAATATAAGAGATACTGAATACAAATTTTCAATAGAAGATTATGAAGTATTTCAAATTACGAGGAGAAATATAATGTTAGATAAATAGATGATAATCCTATACGCGTTGTTCTTAATTAGTAGATAGAATAGGTTTTACTGTTTAATGTATTAATTTTATTTTGTTTTTATTCTTTTTGTTTTATTTTTGGATTTTCACAAAATTTAGGACAATTTTTTTTAGAAATAAGGGATATAGTATATACAAATTAGTAAAGCGCTGTGAAATATAGAAAATTAGGAAAATATCAAAAAAAAATAAAAATAATTAGTAAAATCTTTTAGTAATAGTATTAGCAATTTTTATAAGATAGATTCAACCATTAATACGAGTCTATATTTAGTTAGTTATTAGTTAAATCAATTTAGACTAGATTTCGGTTAGTTATAGAGCCTTTTATATATTTTATATATTAGGTTCTAGGTATTTTGTATATTATGATTAAATCTTTGATTTAACCCTTGATTTAATTAATAAAAAAGATGCATTACTAATCTAAAAAAAAAAATCGTTTGTTCTTATTTATTCCAGGCGAAAACAAATTTCATTATAAAAGATATGATGATAAGTTTAATACTGTTATATTTTAAATTAAAAGAAATTCATAATGGATATGATCTTCAATGAGTTTTATAGCAGTTTAAAATTATTTTTTAATTTCTTTATTTAAAAAATTTATTATCAAACAAAGAAATAAAATTAATTATAAGGAAAAAGAATCATATTTTTGTCTTGTTTTATTTAATAAACACTATTTTGAATCATGCTAATAATATGGAATATAAAAATTTATTCACTTTTTAATTTCGCTTTTTTTCCCTTATGATCTCTAAATTTAATAAAACGCCTAAAGTAAATTATCTCGTGTTATAAGCACTAATTCAACCAACATTATAGTTATTTCGGCCAGCATTAACTTTATTCATCGATCCCAATTTTTTTCAGGTGATCAAAATTTACTGATGAACCGATAATTGGCTCGGTTAAAAGTTTACTGGTTTAAATAAATAATAAATGTCTCCTATAAAACGTTCAATAAAATGATGAAATTTTGTTCTGCCAAATTATTCAAATTGTATAAATTCGATTTTAAATTTAAGGAATAACCGCTTAGCCGCAGACTGCGCAGATTTGCGTAATAAACATGGTAGTACAATAATAGTACAACGATAGCTATAAATATTGACTTTTTCCAACTTAGGACTTTATTCTTTTTAAAAAATGTCTACCCAATTTTTTTCAAAATTAAGTCAAAATTATATTGAATTATTAGAAGATAGTGAATATTATGATATTACAATTGAAGTTGGTGAAGATCCTAATGTAAAAATTTTTCGTGCACATATGAATATTTTGTGTTACCGTTCTCCATATTTACGACGAACTTTAAGTTCTAATAAAAAGAATGATAATGGCGTTTTATCACATATTAAATTACCAAATATATCACCAGAAATTTTTCAAATCATATTAAGGTAAGTTTTTTACTTAATATACTAGTAATATACTTGTAACCACCTAATTTTAATTTTTTTTTTTTTTTTTATAGGTATATTTACGGTGGCATTCTTCCATTGAATGGGCTAGAAGCTTCAAATATTCTAAATACATTGGTAGTTGCAGATGAGCTTAATCTTCAAGAACTAATTAACTATTTACAAAATTACTTAATTGAAAATAATTCAGAGTGGTTGGAACAACATTTTGAACTTGTTCATCGGAAGAGCATTCAATCCAAATATTTATCAGAACTTCAACAATTTTGCACAAATTTGATGGCAAAATCTCCTGAAAAAATATTTAAATCGTTTGATTTTACTTCACTTCCTGAAAAATCGCTAGTTTCACTCATTAAAAAGGATGATTTACAAATGAGAGAAATTGAAGTATGGGAGCACGTGTTAAAATGGGGCCTTGCACAAAATCAAACTCTCACCCAAAATCCAGATACTTGGTCAGATGATGATTTCAAAACGATGAAAAATGTTCTACAAAATTGTTTACCCTTAATTAGATTTTTCTGTTTATCATCCAAAGAATTAAGACAGAAAGTCCGACCATATCAAAAACTATTGAATCAACAACTTTACGAAGACTTGATAGACTCTTATATGGATCCTGATAATATATCAATTGATAATATTTTACCTCCTAGAAATATTAAAATCGATAAAATTATTGATTCGAAAATAGTTAATTTAGATATTGTTTCGGCTATTTCAAGATGGGTTGACAAAATAGACATGAATTATAGTAACAAATTCGCTAATATTAGAAAGTTATATTTACCATACAAATTTAAACTATTATTAAGAGGAAGTAGAGATGGATTTACACCTAAAAAATTTCATGAATTATGTGATGGTAAATCTAATACTATTACTTTATTTAAAGTAAAAGAAAATGAAGAAATTATTGGTGGATACAACCCTTTAAAATGGGAATCTAAAGGTGGTTGGGTTACAACTAAAGATAGCTTTATTTTTTCTTTTATAAATAAGAATATTAAAGACGCAATTATTAGTAATGTAGAAAATACAAATTATGCATTTAATAATTACTTAACACAAGGTCCATATTTTGGCAAAGATATTATTATATACAGTTCTGCAGATCAATTAGATTATGAAAGAATTCACTGTAGAAGGCAATATTATGAAAAAAAAATAAGGGATTCTGAAGATTATTTTTCTATAGAAGATTATGAAGTATTTCAAGCCGTAACGCGCTAGTTTGAGATTTCATCATAAGAAATTGAAATAAAAAAAAAATAATAAAAATAACAAATTTAATTGTAGAGAACGTATTCGTATTTTATTTTGAAATTTTTTTTTCTTTTTTTTTTACAATTAGAACATTATTGGAATAATTCTATAATTCCATAATTTGTAGTACGTTTAATATATGAATCTTTCTCTAATGAAAATTTTAACATGATAATTTAGTAAAGTAAACAAATATAAATAAATCGTCAATTTTTTTTTATCGCCGTTTTCAAAATGATGTACGCAGTTAAATTTGAATAAAAAAAAAAGAAAACCGAAACCCGGACGAAAACCGGACGTAATATGGACAAAAAACGGATGAAAACCGGGCGAATATTGGTATTTGAATATACAATCACAAATAAACTGCGTACACCATTTTGAAAATGGCGATAAAATGAAAATTCGTATTTATGTTTATTATTTATTAACTTTATTTATAGCGGCGTATCTTGCATTGTGAAACGAAATTTATACATACATGTCTAGCCACAAATTATATAATTGTACATCAATATATAAATATTATTTAACTTACCAAATTTAAAAAAAAAAAGTTTTTCTCTTTTTTCTTAAAAAAAAAAAATTCGTAAAATTATGACTACTGAACTGTTTTCTAAATTATTAAGCCAAAATTATATTGAACTATTAGAAGATAATGAATACTATGATATTACAATTGAAGTTGGTGAAGATCCTAATGTAAAAATTTTTCGTGCACATATGAATATTTTGTGTTACCGCTCTCCATATTTACGACGAACTTTGGTTTCTAATAAAAAGAATGACAATGGTGCCTTATCGCATATTAAATTATCAAATATTTCACCAGAAATTTTTCGAATTATTTTAAGGTAATTTTTTTTTGTTTATTTTACAATCGAATTTAAATTTAAACGTAATTACTTAATTTAAAAATATTATTCAATATAGGTATATTTATGGTGGTATTATTTCATTGAATGGACAAGAAACTTCGGAAATTTTAAATACGTTGATAGCTACAGATGAGCTTCATCTCCAAGAATTAGTTAATTATTTACAAAATTATTTAATTGAAAATAATTCTGAATGGTTGGAACAACATTTTGAACTAATTCATCGAACGAGCTTCCAATCCAATTCTTTATCAGAACTTCAAAATTTTTGCACAAATTTAATGGCCGAATTTCCCGAAAAAATATTTAAATCGTTTGATTTTACTTCTCTTTCTGAAAAATCTCTAATTTCACTCATTAAAAAGGATGATTTACAAATGAGAGAAATTGAAGTGTGGGAGTACGTGTTGAAATGGGGCCTTGCACAAAATCCAACTCTCACTCAAAATCCAGATACTTGGTCAGATGATGATTTTAAAATAATGAAAAACACACTACAACATTGTTTACCTTTAATTAGATTGTTTAGTTTATCATCTAAAGAATTGACACTAAGAGTTCGTCCGTATCAAAAACTCTTTAGTAAACAACTTTATGAAGACTTAATAGACTCCTATATGAATCCTGATAGGGTATCAACTGATAATATTTTATTTCCTAGAAATATCAGAACTATTGATTCAAAATTAGTTAATTCAAATATTGTTTCATTTATTTCGAAATGGATTGATAAAACAATTATTAACAATAGCAAATTCGATCATTTAAGAGAATTATATCTACCGTACAAATTTAAATTATTATTAAGAGGAAGTAGAGATGGATTTACTCCTAAAAAATTTCATGAATTATGTGATGATATATCTAATACTGTTACGTTTTATAAAGTAAAAGGGGAGAATGAAATTATTGGCGGATATAATCCTTTAAAATGGATGTCTACTAGTGGATCTTGGCATAAAACTGATGAAAGTTTTATTTTTTCTTTTAAAAATAAGGATATTAATAATGCAATAATTAGTGATATAGAAAATACAAATTATGCATTGTGTAATAACTTTCGATATGGTCCATCCTTTGGCAATGATGTTAATATATGGAATTCTAACGATCAATTAACAGATTATAATAATATTCGCTATAAAAAGCTATATTATAAAAAGAGGATAAGAGATTCTGAAGGTAATTTTTCTATAGAAGATTACGAAGTATTTCAGATCGTAAAGCGCTAGTTTTACTAAGACAAATAATTCCTTTTATCACATAAGAAATAGACGTAAACTATAAGGATTTAATTAGAGGAAACGTATTCTATTTTAAATTTTTTCTTTTTTTTTCAATTAAGAATTATTGGAATAATTCCATAGTTCCGTAGCTTCTAGTACGTTTAATACTCGTGATATTATTTAACACATATGAATCCTTTTTATGACATGAAATTTAATACAAATACGAATAAATAAATAACCAATCTTTTTTTGAATTATTTCTTTGTAATAATTAATTCAACTCACAATCAAAACAATTTGATTCGAGTATTTTGTTGATTGCAGATTAACAAACATTTTATATTCACAAAGCTTTTCAAATTGCTTGTTATCCTAATAAATCTTTGTTGAACCACTATAAAAAAAACATGAACTAGAAGTTCTGAAAGGTCTCTTGGAATTTCGTCTTAATGAGATTATTAGTGACCAAATAAGTGTAAATCTTAAAAATTTCATAAAAAATATTTAATTATTAACTTCTTTATATTAAGCTTTATTTCGTTTCAACAATTTTTTAAATTTTCACAATTTTCACATAAATATATTTATTAAAAAAATCAATTACAGTATTATAAAATAATTTTTTTATTTTCATTTAAAGATTTTTAATTTTTGTGTGACTTAATACAATAAAGTCGTTACTCGTTACATGGTCAAATCACTTTAATCAAAAAAAAAAAAAAAAAAATCAATTAAAAAAAAAATATTTTCATGTAAAAAGAAAAATAAATTTTGCATTCATAATTTTTGTAATTTTTGTTATTTTTTATTATCGCCTTTTTATTTATATTTATTTAAGTTACTATTTTCACGATTTTCAGATATTTCAGATATTTCACGTAATGAACTGGCAAAATATCACGTGTCAAACCATGTGAACTTATCTCACGTTATTATTTGTAAATCTTTATCTATTCGCTCCATGTGATTTAAGTGATAATTGGGCACAATGGACTAAAAAAATCTCTTATGGTCGATGTTTTTATGCTAACGATTATTAATTCTTACTGGAATTGTAAATTCGTTATGGGAATCATGAATCAAAGTCATAGTAGTTTTAAGTGCTAATCCTTTTTTGTAATTACTATCAAGCTTTCCCATAGAAAATTACCTATTGTAGTCTTGTTATACTTATATATATATTTAATCACCAATCATGTAATCGTATATCAATATCAAATCTGAACAATAAAAACGTCTTTTCTCTTTCTCATTTTTTATTTGAAATACGTAAAATAATGTCTACTGAACTGTTTTCTAGATTATTAAGCCAAAATTATATTGAACTATTAGAGGATAATGAGTATTATGATATTACAATTGAAGTTGGTGAAGATCCTAATGTAAAAATCTTTCGCGCTCATATGAATATTTTATGTTACCGTTCTTCGTACTTACGACGAACTTTGACTTCTAATAAAAAGAATGATAATGGCGTTTTATCACATATCAAATTACCAAATATATCTCCAGAAATCTTTCAAATTGTTTTAAGGTAAATTTATTAAATATTATATAATTGAACCTTAACTAATATACTTGTAACTACAAAATTTAAAATTTTTTCATATAGGTATATTTACGGTGGCATTCTTTCATTGAATGGACAAGAAACTTCGGATATTCTAAATGTATTGGTAGCTGCAGATGAGCTTCATCTTCAAGAACTAGTTAACTATTTACAAAAATATTTAATTGAAAATAATTCTGAGTGGTTAGAACAACATTTTGAACTTATTCATCAAACAAGTTTTCAATCCAAATCATTATCAGAACTTCAAGAATTTTGTACAAATTTAATGGCCGAATCTCCTGAAAAAATATTTCAATCGTTTGATTTTACTTCTCTTCCTGAGAAATCTTTAGTTTCACTTCTCAGAAGGGATGATTTACAAATGAAAGAAATTGAAGTGTGGGAACATGTATTAAAATGGGGTCTTGCGCAAAATCCAAATCTCATTCCAGATCTTGAAACCTGGTCGGATGATGATTTCAAAACAATGAAAAATACTCTACAACATTGTTTACCTTTAATTAGATTTTGTTGTTTATCATCTATTGAATTCTCACGAAAAATTCGGCCGTATAAAAAACTTTTAAGTCATCAATTATATGAAGGCCTATTAAATTCCTATTTGGATCCTGATAGAGTATCCACTGATAATTCTTTACTTCCCAGAAATTTTAGTATGGATAAAATTATTGATTCAAAATTAGTTAATTTAAATATTGTTTCATTTATTTCAAAGTGGATTGATAAAATAGAAATTGACAAATTTTCTCATCTTAGAGAATTATATTTACCATACAAATTTAAATTATTATTAAGAGGAAGTCGAGATGGATTTACCCCTAAAAAGTTTCATGAATTATGTGATTATAAATATAATACTGTTACATTCATTAAAACAAAAGGGATAGATGAAATTTTTGGTGGATATAATCCTTTAAAATGGGAATCTTCTAATACTTGGGGTGAAACTAATGATAGTTTTATCTTTTCTTTTATAAATAAGAATATTAAAGATGCAATTGTAAGCAAAGTAGAAAATATAGATCATGCATTGAACTATCACCCTAAACATGGTCCATATTTTGGTCAGGATATTGTTATATGGAATGAAAATCAATTTGCGGATTATAAAATAATTCGCTGTAAAAAGAACATTTATAAAAAAAAGATAAGGGATTCTGAAGATTATTTTTCTATAGAAGATTACGAAGTATTTCAAATCATAAAGCGCTAATTTAATTTGAAATAAAAATAATTTCTTTTTATTATAACAATCAATATAATAAACCATAAGAATTTAATTGGATGGAACGCAATCGTATTTTAATTTTTTTTTTTCTTTTACAATTAAAAATATTATTTGAATGATTTCATAGTTCCGTAACTTGTGATATTTTTAACACTTGGATATTATTTAACACTTATAATTTATGAAATATTTAAGAAAAAGTTAAAGTTTTAACATGAATTTTTATTTATATAGTAAACCAACTTTATTTAAAAAAGAAAAAGTAGTACAAATATAAACATATATATATAAATTAGTAAGCAGAATTTTAAATAAAAAACGAATAATTTGTTTCTTCGTAATGATTAACAAGGAATCTAACCAAAATAATGTCCTTTTTGGATAATACTAGGCGGCATTATGTAGTTCTGGTTCTGAAGAGACGCGTAGAGCTAACAATAAACGAGTTGTTATCAATTTACAGTATATATTGCTCGAGTCCTATACAAGTGCTTTGAATTTAAAATTGGGAACGAGATTGATTAGACTCATGACCATACATTATAAAATTCGCAAATTAACGAGATTTTATGTTCGCACAGTTAGTCATTCCAACTTAATTGTTTAAAATTACTCACCCCTCTATTTTTTTTTGCATGAAATTTACCATTAAACATCATCCCATACCGAACAAATTCAATACAGATGATTTGTAATTGCAAATACGAATGCATCTAAATTATCTATCTACATTTAACTACAGCAGTATTTCTCTAAAATTTTTTCTATCTTCTCTGACCTCACCGCTGTTAACACGCTTCTTAATATCTTTATTAACTTCTTGATCTTTATGAAGTCTTGACTATAAACCGCGTTCAGAGCGTAGTATTCTTCAACTCTCTTCACTAATAAATCGTTTCTTCCTATTCTTTTCCAGTAAATCCCACTCAGATAATCATCCGTAACTGAAGACTTACCTTCCTGCACTGAATCTCTATATTTTGGTCTTTTTTCATCTTTATGTTTCGATTTCACTATCCAAACGTAGTCGGTGCCTATCTCTTCCTATTTTTAAAAAATCTAAATTTAATAAACATATAAAATATATATGTTAAATACGTATTCATCCATTTTACAAACACCTGCTTAAATTTACTGACTTCACTGTGCCGCTTGCCGACTTGCCATTTCTCAAACATTTCAACGAATTACTATTTATTTTACAAGCATGATCGACATATTGACATGAAATTTTGCCTTTACACTTGGCCGGGTTGTCGGATTGTCGGTAGCCAATCAGCTCAAAAAATTGAGTCACGTGATATTAGCTAAATCATGTGTTCGTTATTTTTTCAATTTGCCAACAACCAGACAAGCCGGAAACTCTCGCATAAAAATTTGCCAAGTGTTCTGTACATTATGAAATCAGCTGATAAAGTTTTTTTACTGACGGAATTTATTGCATGTAACAAGCAAAATAGAATTTTTATTTATTAAATAAATTTAGTTTTATCTATTAACTATAAAAATACGCGATAATCATTCTTTTGCTTTTTAAAGGTTGAAATTAAGGCGCAGTAGGAAGTAGTTGATAAATTATAAATTTTCTGTGAGAAGTCGGGTAATTTTTATGTAATTTCAGTAAAATGAAGTTAGGTATTTTTTTCATGTCAGCAAAATAGAAATCGACATTCGACATGTCGGTGAAATGTCTGTAAATCAGAATCGTAGGCTGTTTTCAAAAAGGCAATGCCAAAGACATTAAAATAACCATAGTATATATAACTCGACCAATTCTCATCCTTTTACAATTACTAGATGCCAAGTAATTACATTTACGTTTTTATTTCGAAGATAAAAAATTCAAAATACTCATTTTCGAACTTATTATATTGTTTCCAGATTTTAATTAAATCATTTAAATCATCATCATAGAGAATACTTCTTTAATATCATTTTCCGTATCTTTATTTTAATTGTTTGTATCGTTACATTCCATTGACTTTCTGGTTTTTATAATAATTCCAATAGTAAAAAAAGAGAAACTGATAGTTATAAGACGTGAATAAATACGTTCGAAGAAATCTCATCATTTTACTAGACCATCAACGAAAGTTTTAATAATTTTATTTATAACAAAATTTTTATCACTAGTAGTCAATTCCATTTATTTTCGTTTCCTATTTAACACTCACTTTGTCGGAACTTTTCTTATTGATAACAGATAAATAAGTATTCCAACTAAAATCCTATAATTCAATGGAATAAAATGAAAATTGAGCAATTGTACCACCGACCACAATTTATAATTATTAATTAAAGTAGGTACAAAAGCCTGTGTATATTGAGAAGGAAAAAAAATATTAATATTAAGTAAAACAATATCTTTAAGATAAATATTCTGGGAGGAATTTATATTTACATCTCCAATCTTTTCTAAAATTTAAGATTTTTCTTGACCTTCTAATAATGCCTGACCTACGAAAAATGTTGTAATAAAACATGGTGCGAATATAGCCTGATCTAAAGTGACACGCGTTAATAGTCCTTTATAGAAAAAGAAAATAAATAAATAAATTAATTTGGAATAAAATAATTAATATTATAATGTATAGGTATATATTACCTAACATGGGATTAATTGTAGTGTTATCACCGATTTGGTATGGAGTGATAACTAACGTCAGAGATGTTAAAGTGAACAGTCAATGACAAAAAGGCCAAGTAATAAAATGATAAGTGTTTTGATAATATTGTGATCAAATATAAGAGTATCACTAATAATTCTCAGTAGAAAATTAATAATGATGATGGTAAACAATGTAAGAGTTTCTTAAGATAGAAATCTATCAAACAAATAATAACAAACACAAAGGTAAAACAAATAAAACACGCAAAAAGTTTACTACAAAGAAAAACTAACAACAAATCATACAAAAACACAATACTTCGGATAACACAATCTAAACTCACTGTTAGATTACCCAGGTGTTAACAACCTTTATTCAAAAGAAAATATTGCTCTATATATGTTTACATTTGCACACATGACAGTTTTAACTTATCAATATTATCCTATTATACTAATATGATTAATCAATCAATTGTCCTTTTTCCATTGCAATTATCTGTAGAAACCTTCCTATTGTTATTTCGTATTAGTTCTATGTGTCTATATGATTCATCAACTATGTAAAGTTCAAGAAACTTCTCTAGCTAAACTAATAAAGCAATTTTCTAAGGTTATAATAATTAAACTGATACTTATAATTGAATACTTATGAGTCAAAAGTACTAATAATACTAAAAGTGGTTAATTAATGTAAATAACTAATAAAACTAAATTATATTATAAGTAATGTTTCATATTGTAATAAACTCAGCCATAATCATAGGATTTCTGTGTACTATATCATGTGACTTGTTCGATCTTCAACTATTTTCATGGGCAACCCTAACAATAATCTTTGATTAATTCTATCTCAAGCAAAAATTTTGGTAACAGTAGCAAACCGGTCTAAATAAAGACCAGATAGCTGTGGATGGGCCCTTATTTAATTTATTACAAAAAATTTTAGAAATAAAATTTTTCATCTTTAAATAATAATGCTTACAGCTATACTGCCTATACATAAACCAAATCCTCCAAGTCTTAAAATTCTATAAAAATTATGAGATTTTAACCCTCTTGGTTTAACAAATTGTTGTGCTATAATATTTCCTGTAACAAATAATGTTCCTGAATAAATTCAAATTTATAATAATATTAAATTCTTATTTCATTACGGAATAAATGATTTTTGTACCAACTGAAAAAAGACATATCGTAGTATATAATTGAAGAATTTTAGGAAAGGAAAATGGAGGAGTTGAAAAAGTTTAAATCTATATTTAGAATTTGACCCTCCACCCTTCCATATAAGGGTTTTAAATTTGCACGACTAAGGTCGGATTTAGAGTAATAATTCTCCGACACCCAATTATTACTTTTTCAAGTGTTTTTGCAGTAATGATAAACAATATATAATAATAATATGATGATCTAAGTAATAGGAACGATCAGTAATATTGAAACTTTTTTTTTTAGCTATGTCAACACGTCATAAAGATACCTATTTAAATTAAATAATTTGTATATGTTTAATTAAGATTTTTTTTAAAAAATAATAGTACTATTAACCAGAAATAAACGAAATAAACGGAAATGTTATTAATATAGTCAAGACCTGTTATTCGTTATTCGATATACCGATATACAGTATATATTAAATTTTACTTTCTCACTATATGAGAGTAAATATCGGTATAATTTGATATATCGGAATTTTTCAATGATCTTCAACATATCGTTATATCGGAGTTTGACTGTATTTATTAATATAACTTACAAAATGAGAGTGTACATGAAATTCCGTGTTAAGTTATGCGACATTTTTGTTACGCGACATACGCGACATACGCGAAAATTAATATAGAAATACGCGACAATTATTGATAGATTGATCGGTAACTATGTTGATTATATTGTGATTGATTGAGGCGTAGTGCAGTAATGGGTCATTGCGAATTACATAATTTGTAAAAAGTTTGTACTACAAAAAAATATATAAAAAGGCCTTACCTCCTTTTTTTTTATTATTATTTCTAAATTTCTCTAATATATATCCGAACCAACTACTTGAGATGACCCAAATACTCCACCCAAATACTCTAGGCGGCCAGGTCCACCAAAACTTTTACGATATATGTGAGAGGTCTTTTTATTCCTCTTAAACTATTTTATAAACAAAAAACTTCTTTCTTACCGAAAGCAAACTTACACACAAAACTCCTTCCATATCTTCAAAGCGGAACAGCATTAAGTGGTGAGTATAAATAACAATTTGCCGGATGGACGTACGAGTACGAGTTCACCGGAGAAGGGTTCGCTGAAAGTCTTCCGGATGGTGGACTGTTATGATTGACATAGAGGTTTATGTGCTCGGAGTACGTACCATTTGCTACTGGCTATGTAGTCATCTGCTTTGTGCACAAGTCGTAGCTACAATGATGCCACATAGGTGATCCCCAAGCCGATCCATATGGGAGGGCAGGCCGTGGTGCCCGTGGAAATGACACATATTTTTATGTCATCATGGTCACTTAGTTATTATTATTGAATACTATGTAAGATTTGCCATAGATCCTATGATGGCCACATAGGTGTCCTGGGGTTCCCTGCTTAGGCATAATTAACAGGGTGATAAATCTCATATGGTATGAGGTGATAGTTACTAAAAATTTTGTAAATTCTATAGGGTATGCTGTACATGACCAAATCGTCTTGAAAATAGTTAACTGTCTCCCTTACTAGCTTTCTTATACATTATGGCACATTGTAGTATTCTGCCTTTCTAAAGCAAGCAGAGGCACTCGAAAAGGATAATAATAATTTATTTAGTAATAATAAGTGAGTATTATCAAAATTTATGAAAAAGATTGATTTAATTTTAATTCTTTAATTTTTAATTCTTGTTTCTTGTATTTCCAGATGGATATACTTTTTTTTTTATTTTTGAAACCTGATTTTCGCTCTTTTCTTAGTTTGCGTTGTTCAACTAGTAAAACTTAGATTCTGCTTTTATTATCAATTTTACAGTTTATACTATTGTGAAAAAGTTTGTTATTTTTTTATAATATATTTATCTTTTTGCATAAATATCATGATTAATAATGGACCAAATTTTTTAATAACAACTACTGACATTTAAACTAATGACAACTACCGCAGTTGAACCACAATTGAATCGCGCATTCATACGCTCAAGAATTTTTGGACTTTGAAACATAATAGCTTTATTAGATAGCTATTGACGCGCTTTATTCAGAAAAACTTTAATCAGTAGAGACGAAGGTAAAGTAATTATTTTATAATGCTGACTGAAATTAACCGAAATTCTATTGTGGATTTGTTGTATTTGAACACCAACAGAAAGTTAAAAGTAGACATTGAAAATTTGGAAAAATTTGGAAATTAATAATATGCCAACCGGGATAATATAATGCTTTACCCATATTTTTTTACATGACTTATAAAAATTGACTTATCAAATTTATTTTTATTCTTAAAAGAAAATATAAAACTATAATAAGATTGACTCCAATTACCAGACGATTTCCATATTGAAGGATTATATCACTCAGAATTTCTCCAGTTCCTTTTACTTCAATAAAAGTAACGGTATTAAGCTTATCATCGCATAATTCATGAAATTTTTTAAGAGAAAATCCATCTTGGCTTTCTCTTAACGACAACTTAAAATTGTACGGCTAATTTTCTAAGATACGCAAATTTATTATTAATATCAACTTTATCAATCCATATTTAAATTAATAATCTTTGAATCAATAATTCCGTTAATTTTAGATCTCTAGGAAGTGGAATGTTATTAGAATTTGGTTCACTATCAGTATCAGGATCCATATAAGAATTTAATAAATCTTTGTAAATTTGGTGATTTAAAAGTTTTTTATATGACTAAAAAAATCTGATTAAAGGTATACAATTTTGTAAAGTATCTTCCATCATTTTGAAATCATCACTGTCTAAGTATCAAGGATCTGAAATGAAGATTCTGATTTTGTGCGACACCCCATTTTAACATATGATCCAAACTTCATTTGTAAATCATCTCCTTTAATAAGTGAAATTAATGATTTTTCGTATTATGTTTTTCAATGTATGTGTTAACCCGAGTATTTCTCTTTTTTGAATTTTCTATTTATATATATATATTTTTTCTGTAATACCTTTTTCTTTTACAGTCTTCAGCTTCAGTAAGTTTTTTTTGTAGAATCGGTAAGTTTTATTTTTTATTATTAATTTTGGTTTTTTTGTATTAATTTTTTTTTATCTTTTTTTGTAGTTTTATAGATTATTTTCCTGCTAATATATCAGTTATATCTAAAACATGTACGTAATAAAAATAAATAATTATGTAATCGATGATTTTTTCCAAAGTTTCTATACCACTAATCAAGTGTCTGTCATGATGTATTCAAAAAAGTTTTTAACATTATATTTATATTAATCTTTACTGACAAATTAAACTACCTGTATTCAGAAAGGTCTTTACAAATATATATATACCCTTTCAAAAAAATATTACGATTCATTATCATACTGTATTGCGTAATCGATTAATATTCTAATTTTTTTTTATCACTTATGCAGGAAATCCAGGAAAGAATTTCAAATTTACACGAAAAAAAAATTCATATACTCAAAAAAGCGGTTAGACACATACAAACCAAAAAATTACGAAAACCAACGAAATTTGAAATCTTTTATAACGTAATAGGATCACAAACTAAAAAAACCACCCCAGCCAAATGATCGACATAGTTTCTAAGCTAAGTGGGCGTGTAATTTCAAATACTAACCACATGTATTACAGAAATCAAAGAAAATTTCTTATTCTAATAAATAAAAAAAAAAATTAGTAATTTTATTTATATATTTTATTAAATATTTTACAATTGATTTCTTATATCAAAAATTTAATCATTATAAGGGCGATTTTAACGCTAAATCGGCGGTGAAACACTACATCCTAGCTTATAAACTGCCCATGGGCCAGATTAGCCCACGAGATCTGATTGGTCCAAACAACTTACCAACATTTAATTACAAATAAGGCAATTTTATAACTTTTGACCGGATATTTACTTATAAACTCATGGTTAAGGATTGCATTAATGTACATTTTGTACCACCTTGTAACTATAAAAAAGGCAAAAATTTTTTCAAGGTTACACATTAATTTGGCCAGAATTAAGATAATTTCGCCCAGTAAAATTTGGCCGGAATTATAAAACGGACATAAATGTCCGTTTGCAAATTTGGCCAGAATTATAAAAACGGACATAATTTGGCCGGAATTATAAAAACGGACATTAATGTCCGTTTTTGTAAATTTGGTCAGCATTATAAATGCAAATATTATAAATTGCATCAATTTATGTAATCATAGAAAAAATAAATTATAACTTGTTAGCTTTGTCTCATCAAGACATTAAATTGTTAAATTGTGGTTTCTATCATCAATAGATCATGGAAAGTTATTGGCATTTGGAAATATTTAAGAATACAAAAAAATTCTTTTCAAACAATGTAAATATCTTATTATTTATTAATCCTAAAGGTATAAAACTCCTACCACTTAATAC